TTTATTTCCCTACAACTTTGAAATAGTGCATATATATACTCCCACTTTTCAATTTTCATTTAAATTACAAGCAATGGTTATTAATTATGGTAATAAAAAAAACTAATTTTTCAGGGAAGACATACAAGTTCAGGGTGTCCAATGTTGGGTTAGCAACCTCATTTAACTTCAGGATTCAGGGCCATGAGTTGAAGCTGATTGAAGTTGAAGGTGCTCACACTATGCAGGACTCGTACAAGTCCCTTGATGTTCATGTGGGCCAATCAGTGACTGTTTTGGTGACACTTAATGGGTCAATCAGTGACTATACCATTGTTGCATCAAGCCGTTTTACCGATCCAATTGTGCTCACTGCTACAGCAACTCTTCGCTATGCTGGCTCCAACAGTAAGGCCCCAATTCCATTACCCCAAGGCCCAGCAACTAACGATGTACAATGGTCCCTACAGCAAGCCAGAAGCATCAGGTAGTATATATTTTTTTTCAATTTTTTTCTCTAAGAAACAACTATGAACTGGACTTTCAGAATTTCAAAGTCTAATTAAGTATTTCTCTTAATTGTACCGTTTTAATTTTTATTTTTTTTTACACAAATGAGATGATATAAATGAAATAATGGAATATTAAATAAAGATTTTTAGTGTATTTTATCTATCAAAATTACAATGATGATATCAGAGTTTAAACATAAATAAAACTCTGCATATTTGTCTAATCTTACTATTAGGCCAATTTTAGTGATTCAAGGATTTTTTTAATTTAAATATATTTATTAATTTATGTATATTAACATTGAAGGATGAAAGTATGAGACAAAGAATATTAAAAATGAAAAAATGTTAACGACACTCTCTTCATAACATTTCTTTGATTATGGGTAGAAAATCATAAATTTTTGGTGGGTCACACTACTAAACAAAGAGACAAACTCATTAAAGAAAATGTGGAATCTATAAAACATGTGATTTCCAATAAATTAGATTTAACAATAAAGAGTGGTAAAGAGAATGTTGATAAAAGTCTCTACAAAAAATTCTTGCATATGGGATAATGATATCACAAATGAACTAAGAATAGAGTATACCGTTGTAATTAGCTTCATTTTCTCATTTTAGACTAGTAATTAAATTCATTATTTTTGGTGTTGATTGTTTTCTCAAATGAGAATCTTTTGATCATTGCCTCTAATTGTGCTTTGTTTGTGTTTTTCAAAGACTGAATTTGACAGCAAATGCAGCTCGGCCAAATCCACAGGGATCATTCCACTATGGAACCATCCCTATTCAAAGGACCATTGTATTGAGAAATTCTGAAGCCACTATAAATGGAAAGCTACGATATGAAGTGAACGGAATTTCCTACATCAACCCAAACACTCCTTTGAAGCTTGCTGATTGGTATAACATTCCCGGTGTCTTCGATCTCAACACAATCAAAGATGTTCCTCCTCCTCCAGGCACCCGTGCCAAACTAGGCACATCAGTCATAGGATTGACCCTCCATGACTTTGCAGAAATTATCTTCCAAAATGGAGAAAACTACGTTCAATCTTGGCACATGGATGGATCTAGCTTCTATGTTGTTGGGTATGACAACAACTTTTTCTTCTTGTTAATTGGGTTTGATTCAATTTATTGTTTACAAAATTGATTAACCAAATCTTATTTAGATATGGCGATGGCATGTGGAGCCCTGGTGCGAGGAACACTTACAACTTGGCTGATGGTATTACTAGATACACTGTTCAGGTGAGTCAATAGTTGCACTTGAGAAAAATGTTAATATTTTTTACATACTTTTTTCTATGGAAAATAACGTCTATTCCCATTTTAGGATGGATTTAGGTAGAAGGAGGAGAAATAGAGAGAAGAAAGAAAAGATAACATGATAAATATAATATATGATTTGTTAAAAAAAATGGAGAGATAGAAAAATAGGGTGGAAGTGAATTGTAAGATAATGAAATGTATTATTTTTTATTAACTAATATGGGGTCTCATTTTCAAACTAATAAAATTCACGTAAATTTTAACCACCACAACTTTAAGCATTATAAAATAGATTTTTTTTTTTGTTTTGTATATTTAATCTATTGCATTAATGCAATGAACAGGTGTATCCAAAGTCTTGGACTGCCATATTAGTGTCTTTGGACAATAAGGGTATGTGGAACTTGAGGTCTGCGATCTGGCATAGACGGTATTTAGGACAAGAATTGTATCTAAGGGTGTGGAACAATGAGAAAAGCGTATACACTGAAACAGTTGTCCCTCCCAATGCACTCTATTGTGGCAAGGCTAAACATCTCCCCAAGTCATAGAGTACTTGATGATGTGATTATTTTCATAAGTTGTAATTGTAACTTTGGACTTTCTATTTTCTTCATTCTTATCATTATTTGGTTTAGATGAATCAGTTACGAGGGTGTGACTGTCAAGTGTCAAGTAAAAAAAAAAAAAAAAAAAAAAAAGCCTTGAGTGAATATTGAGGCTCGTTGAGGAGAGTTGTTTAACTAGTTGATTTACTTGTATTAGATTATTATTTCTTGTAATCATAATAAACATTTAGTATTCTCACTTTGTTTTCGTTGCTTCCTACATTCTACATCCTTACAAATTCAATAATCAACTATCGAAGAAATTGTTAATTAATCTTCAATATAATATTAACAATAATGTATATTGAGTATGTAAAATTTAAAGGGAACAAAACTATGTATAACTTCCTTGAAGTTCAAAAAATTATAAATAACTCTTTTATTGTAATTAATTACTATGGCCTCCTTTAATTAAATTACACTACAAAAATAATTACTAATTTAGGGAGAACTTTTTGATTGAAATAAAGCGAGAGATTTTTTTATGTACGTACCATTGAATAATGTATTGCTATTAGTTATATTATTTATTATAAGTGTGGACGTACAAATAAAAACCCACAACTCACTACATAAGTAAAGAGAGAGAATAAAATAAAATAGCTCCACACAAGGGGATGATAGAGGTGGGAGGAGGAATTTTTAAGTCACTTCATTGATTTGGTTTTTACTCATGTGATGTCACACACATTACACTGACTACCTTTTATAGGCATTACATATTGTGATAAAAACCTTTTTCCAAGCCCACCTTTCGACCTAGCCAACTTAGGCCCATTTACATCAAACTATGCAATTGCTGTTTTTTTTTTTTGGTTTTTTTT